GCCTATAGGTAGCGTGTAAGAGGGTTGAGACTCAAACCCATTAGGGGCACCTGTTTCAGTCACTGCATTCAGAAATGTGGAGATATGATGATTGTAATAACCTGGGTAAAAATCTCACATTAACCGTCAGGTTTACCAGGTGGGAGTCATACAGCACGGAAATGAGGAACAATTATTTGTAAAAGTCATGTGGTGTTGTCATTTACTTTTAAACCTAAATTTAAACAAAAACTTGATTCTGGAAACAACTAGCTACACCATTTAATTGACACACACGATAATCATTATAAAATTCCCCAATAACCCATACCATATTTTAAACCAACAAGTTCGCATGCCTTCAGAGACTTATATAATTAGAAAAGGAAACACACTCACATGAAATAATTCACAAACAAATTCATAATTTTAAATATAAACAAAAGGGAATTTATTATTATTTACAAATTTTACTTTGCAATAAGTGTTGCAATTAACCTTATCTGAGTAACTGTGAAATTCAGATAATGCATTAATACAAATATAACTTATACAAGTTGCCTCAATTCTAAATCAATATTTAATAATCAAATAATATGATGATAGACCTTACAGTTCATAACTTGCCACGACAGCTGGGGAAGAGGGGCTCCCTTTTTTTTTCTTTCATTCATTTTTAAAGTTTCAAAGTTAATAATGTTCTATACGTACCATTGTTCAAAGTCTTCGCAGCAGGGGGCCAACCACTCATGGGGCTCTTGTGTCGGGCAGGAGACCTGGGTAAACTTGTCCATATCATTTAGCAAGCCAGGAAAGATCATTTTCCTTTTCCTAAAGACGTTGTAGCCAGAGGATCTTCAGCTATCTCGTTCATACCGAGAGTCAGGCTCAAATGCATCATGACGAAAGAAGTCTAGTATCATTGTTCAAAGTTCGTGGCAGCAGGGGCCAACCGTTTAAATAGGCCCTTGCGTCGGGCATGAGGTCTCTAGACTTGGTCTTTCACTCGGAGACCACGTTGGGCCACGTCTCTCCTCGGTCCTACTGTTCTTTATTACGGGGGATGGAGCAGCTCCCTCCCTTCTTTATCTGCTGTCTTCAGTACTTCTACATCTTGCTCTCCTCTCTGGGTTTCTCATTCTCTCACCACCACTGCTATGTCCATCACCTCCCTTTTATAGTTCATTCTCGGGGAGGGGAGGGGGGTGATTGCCGACACCGTATTAGAGTCTATATCCGTTGGGCAGACGCACCCCCGTCCATAAATCCAAATCCCCGTCTTAATCAACTGATTTCTTGACCATCTGGCCTCGAAATGTTTTATGACCCCTGCCAATTAAAATACTTTCCACATACTTTCCACCCCCAGCTGTGACCCATCCGGTCAGGTGCAGAGACCAAGAAACAGCCCCCTTCCAAGGGACACACATATAATATAGTCTAACATATACAATAATTATATAGAATTTTACCATAAAAAATATTTACTAAAAGATATTGCACACGTCAGTCATCCTATAAAGTAATGCCCTTCCTTCCTTGCCCATAATTGTGGTGTCCGTAGTATAATTAAGCTATCCCTTAAAATAATGTCTTTCCCCAATCATTCATCAGTGCGTGTTTCGTGCCATCCAAAGCTATAACAAGAATCTCACTGATATTCCTCGCAAAAAATGCCTTTTATAAAAACAATACTATTTATTACAATGATATTGCTTGTTTTCAAAAAGCGTGTTATTTTGACCTGAAGTTATTCGCCATTAGAATAGCAGATTAGAAAATTTAGCGTTGCCCAAATAAGCACACAGTAAGAAGAGTAGGTAGCTACAATCCTTGCATTTTACCACCACAATTGGGAACAAATATGTTGTACATGTGTGCATGTGATATACGTGGCATATGTATGTGGTTATGTAGTATATGTGTGTATGGGATGTATGTGGTATATGTATGTTTGTGGAATACCACATTTGTGTGTTTGCCCATTCCTCTTTTCCACTTAGAGCCCAATGAAAGGTATTTCCTTTCAACAGATTTATCGTGCCTATCCTTGAAGATTCATAGAAGTATTCAGTTCTAGATTTGTTGAACTAAACTTTCTTAGTTCGGAAATCTAACAAACTATTCACAAATCATGTGTTACAATCTTAGTATTAAATTTTTAAAAAATATAGGTTTTAAATAATTAATTTTCTTCTAGAAGAATTTTAATTAGAAGCAAAAGTAATGAGTATTATATCTGTATCAGTAAAGATTCAGATTATGTAAAAGAGAAAATTTTTTAACACGTTCTAATTGCTAATTATCAAAAAGCTACTCGAGAACATTTTAACAAAGAAAATTTTAATGAAAACAATTGTGCCTAAAAAGGTAAAAACTCTCACAATAAATTTTCATACGTGTAATAGCTGCAATGTAATTCATTCTCTTTGTATTTCTTAATGAAGCTCAGAAAATATCTCTATTTAAGTGAGATATAAATAAGATTAGGAGGAATCTTTCTAAATTTTCTACATCTTTATTTAAACGGCGAGAAAATATTTTTTGTAAGTAATGAATCTATTGAAACATATTTCACGGTTATGCTTTAAATTTAATTAAAATGCATAAGATTTGTAATGAAGCTTCTTCAATAAAAATTCGTCTTATTGTCATTTTTATTTGCTAGAGAGAAACTCATTAGAGTTTTCGACAAATACATTTAAAGAACTGTGAAATGAGGAAAAAGAGTTAATTATTGTTATTTTTTATCTGATTTTAGAAGAGTCAATTTTAATTTGACTTTTATGTAAGTCATAAACGCATGCTTCTGATATTATTTTTAAAACTGTAATAAAATAAAACATCTTTAATTTTTAATAAAACTGACATTTTTAAATGAAGTCTTATATTATTTTTTAACCAAATAAAAAATTGCTTTTGTATTAATGAAAATACTGTGGGGTTTTATACATAGTAAATATATCTTAAGGAATTATATCGAAATTCTGATATGTGTACTTCTAAAATTCAAGAATAATTTATTTAAACCTAATTTACCTATAAAAGTAAAACTTTGTGCAACTTATAACAGACAACTTTTATGTAAACATATAACTCCATATAATATTTATGTAAACATATCACTTTTTATGTACATCAGACGCCATTGTGTTAAGAATGAATCTAGTTATGAATTTAATGTAAATACTAGAACTGTTTAATAATCCTTTTTGAATGACTATATACATAATTTATTGAAGTTTATTTCCTATTTTTTACAAAGTTACTATTCAATGGAATATGAGATATATGTGAGAGATTTTATGATTTAATAAAAAAAATGGTCCTAACCTTTCAAAGTCCAAAATGGTCCTAACTTTTTTTTAACCTAACCTACCTTACAAAGATTTCAGAAACAGTATAAAAATAGCAAGTTTGGCCTTTTTCATGAGAGGTTAAAGGGTTTTGGCTAATTATAATAGAAGTAAAAGGAAACAATAATAATTGAAAATAAAATGAAAGAAAAATATTACGCGGAGTTTTCATTAAAATATGAATTAACAGTAACCATGACAACATTTTAGACAATTTTCAAATAAATTCGAAAGCATTATTAAATAGTGCACAAAAATTTTCTCATTTGCTGCTTGTATTGGTTGCATGTGGTTATAAATAATTTGTGGTTTTTTAACTTACACGTGGTTTCTAATAAATTTACGTAGTTCATGATGGCCATATATAATTTATAAAGATTTTATGGTGTTTATAATGTTGTTTTATTTTTTTTTAAAGTAGATAAAACAAGACATTTTGATAATTTATTCAATTATTTCTTAAAAACTTTGATAATTGCATGGAATCATTGTAAATTTGAAATTTATATTTTTTTTAGAAATAGAAAAAACATTTTTAATTCGTATATTATATTCTAACTTGCAACAATTTTTTTTTAAATTCAGCTCACTATTATTTAAATAAACATAAATTAGTTTTCATAATTGTTTTAGTAAATTTTTCAAATTTATTTGTTAAGAGACCAAAATGGAATATTCGGAATAATTATTCTTGGTTTAAATTAAATGATCACATTACTCAAAATCTAAATTACATTAAATTTTAAGTCTTAAATTACTAAACGCCCAATTTTTTTTCCTATTCAAAATCCTTTCAAAATTTTTGGTTCATAATTCAGCTATAATATTTGTTGTAAAGAGCAGAGAAATAATGCTACAAATTATTAAAGTTAGTTCATTTAAATGTCTGAAAATTTAAATGTCTTTTTAAATGTCTAAAACCGACGAACAAAAGGAAAAAAAGATTAATATATAATATATATTAATTAATATTAAAGATTATGTAGTTTTATAATTCCACATGGTTTATAATAACTTTATATGGTTTATGATGTTTATAAGGATTTTATGAGATTTATAATGGTTATGGTTTGTTTATTTTAAAAAAGTAGGTCAACCAAGAAAATTTAATGATTTAGTTAATTAGTTTTCGAAAACTTTGATCATTGCATAAAAATATTGTAAATTTCATTTGTTTAGAAATAGAGAAAACATTTTTAATTTGTACATCGTATTCTAATTTCTAATATTTTTTTTTTAAATTCAATTTACTATTATATAAATAAACATAAATTATGTTTAACTTTTTTTTAATATACTTTTCAAATATATTTGTTAGAGACCGAAATGGAATATTCGAAATAGTTAGTCTTGGTTAAAATTAAATGGTCGCATTACTGAAAATCCATATCGTATTAAATTTTAAGTCGTGAATTACTAAATGTCCAATTTTTTTTTCCTACTCAAAATCATTTCAGAATTTTTGGTTCTTAAATCAGCTATAATACTTATTGCAAACTGTACAGAAAATAATGCTACAAATTATTAAAGATAGCCATTTAAATGTCTGAAAATTTTCCACAATCCATAGACACATCGACATTTCAATACATAAGGCCTTCTAAAACTGACCAAAAGGAAAGAGAAGATTATTATATAATATTTATTATACTCGTATATTATACCAACGGCCGTACCATGCTGAATATACCGGTTCTCGTTAGATCACCGAAGTTAAGCATAATTGGGCGCGGTCAGTACTTGGGTGGGTGACCACCTGGGAACACTGCGTGCTGTTGGCAAATTTGGGACCTGAATGGCCGAGTGTCTGGCGCTCGGTGCCATGAATGTTTGTAGTGGTTCGGAATCCACTTTAAGCCGTAGGTCCCGGTCTTCTATGACTGTAAGAGCGTCACGGAGCAAAAGTCAGGCTTCTACCTACGGGTGCTCCATCACAACAGAAGCTGCTTCCTTCCCCTTCAATCATGTGTCCATATGGGCTCGTGGGCTTGGCCAGCCAAGTGGGATAAGAAACAACAACAACAACATTATACTCGTATAGTAATCTTATTATTTATACGTATAATAATAATCACAATATTTATAAGTGGTTTTAAAGATTTCGTAATTTTTTTTAATTCCATATGGTTTATAAAAATTTTATATGGTTTATGATATTTATAATGATTTTATGAGATTTATAATGGTTATGGTTTATTTATTTTAAAAAAGTAGGTAAACCAAAAAAATTTAATGATTTAGTTAATTAGTTTTTGAAAACTTTGATCATTGCATGAAAATATTGCAAATTTGAAATTTATACTTTTTTTAGAAATATAGAAAACATTTTTAATCTGTATATCGTATTCAGACTTCTAATATTTTTTTTTAATTCAATTCACTATTATTTAAATAAACATAAATAATTTGTAATAACGTTTTAATAAATTTTTCAAATATATTTTTAGAGACCAAAATGGAATATTTTGAATAACTAATCGTGATATAAATTAAATGGCTGCATTACTGAACATCCATATCATTAAATTTTAAGTCTTAAATAACTTACTATTCATATTTTTCCATTATAAATCATTTCAAAATTTTTAGTTTTTAATTCAGCTGCAACATTTATTACAAACAGTAGAGCAATAATGCTACAAATTATTAAAGTTAGTCATTTAAATGTCTGAAAACTTTCCACTACTCATAGACATATCGACATTTCAATAAATTTGTCCTCCTAACAACGACGATCAAAAGGCAAGTTGATAGGTGGGACATTTCAATAGAAGGTGAAATTCTCGACTGCTGTACTAAATTATATTGATTCACTTCCCTATTTGTCTAGCTGTATAGACTAATGAAACTTGCCAACTAGACATTGAGTAAAATGTTTCCAACAAGGCGACAACATCATTGAGTAATTTAATGATAATTATAGTAGAAAGGGATTTTGTTATATCGCTTATTTACAGTTTCAATTAACAACCTCAACAGATAAAACTGTAAAGGAAGTTGAATAATTTCATTTCATTATCTTTTATTACTTCATTCTGTCATCATCTTTTGAAATAACAAACACTTATTTCGTTTTTGAAAATGTAACTATTACTATTTTGATTGCTTATTTAATCTGATTATACTATTAGCACTAACTGTAAACTAATGACTTGTTACTGAACAAATATTTTTCAATAATGTCTTTAGAATAAAACTAACTAAACATCAGTCATCATAAATCCTCTACCGCTCATGTAATAAACTCCTCATTTACTTAATATTGGAAATTGAAAAAAATGATACTATTACATTATCTATTTTATTAATAACAGTTGGATAATTTCGTTTCATTTACTTTTTCACTTTAACATTTTTTTATAGTTTAAAATAACAAAGACTTATTTCGCTGTTGAAAATGTAATTATTGCTACTTTGATTGCTTAACTAATCTAATTATATTATTAGCACTAACTGCATACTAATACAGTTAGTTCAAATAATATAATCAGAATATTATTAGCCGTAACTAATAAACGTAACTATAACTAACTAATATAGTACTATAAATACCACTAATATATACTAACTATGTTACAGAAGAAATATTTTTCCGAAATGTCTTTAGAGTAAAAATAACTAGACATCAAGAGAATAAGAATAGATTGGCCATCATAAATATTTCTCGCTCCATGTAATAAACTCCCATTTATTAAATATTGGAAAGGGGAAACAATTGATACTATTGCATTATGTATTTATTTAAGCCAACGGCCGTACCATGCTGAATATACCGGTTCTCGTTAGATCACCGAAGTCAAGCATCATTGGGCGCGGCAGTACTTGGGTGAGTGACCACCTGGGAACACCGCGTGCCGTTGGCAAATTTGGGACCTGAATGGGGCCGAGTGTCTAGAGCTCTGGCGCTCGGTGCCACAGGTTTCGGGTTCGAATCCCGGTGGTGCCATGGATGTTTGTAGTGGTTCGGAATCCACTTTAAGCCGTAGGTCCCGGTCTCCTATGACTGTAAGAGCGTCACGGAGCAAAAGTCAGGCTTCTACCTACGGGTGCACCATCACAACAGAAGCTGCTTCCTTCCCCTTCAATCATGAATCCCTATGGGCTCGTGGGCTTGGCCAGCCAAGTGGGATAAGAAACAACAACAACAACATTTATTTAATGTTGTGAATAGGAAACCATGAGAAAACGAAAACATTATTTTTCTTTATAATATGATATCTTTATAATAGAATATCATTATGTCCTTAACTTCTAATGCAAATTATTTCTGCATTGCCCTAATTATACTGTATTTTTACAATGTAGCTCTTGAATGAAACTGCATTAAATGTGTTAATTTAATATTTTTATGTCTTGGCTAGAAATAGCCATGATAAATTTTTAAGTCGGAAAGTAATTTCCTTCGTTCTCGAGAAGGAATAAAAAAAGTGAAACAGTTCAGATGCCATCTTTAAATCTGTTTATTTCAGGTAGCGAATACAAAATTTTGCTGCAGTGCAACTGCGCATGTCAACATGTCTACCATGGTGCATCATGAGCAACTCTGATTATATTAATCTACAGTTTCTAGAAGCGAATGCTTTAGATTCCTTGAATTCGAAAATAATAATACAATGTAGTATAAAAATACAATTTTCAGTAAAAAAACATTTTAACCTTTAAACAGAAGATTTTTTTTTTTTTAAAAATAGAAAAATATATGAATTCTTACAGAGAATTAAAAAAAAAAAAAGAAAGACAAAATAACAATAAATGCACAGAAATTTACATGTGTGACCAATAATGTTAGAATGTGCCCTTACAAAATGATTTAATATATTGAGCTTTTAATAGTTCTTTCGTTATTTTATTACAACTGTAACGATTTTATTTTATTGTTTTCGTCATGAGAGCTTAGACGATGGAAAAGAGGACTCATTAATTGAATTGCTATTGTTTTAATAAATAGATTCATTTAAAAAGACGATAACTATCGCTAATTTCGTTCATTTTTAATGCAGCAATAAACATTATTGCTGCACTTTTATCACATTCATTGATTTTAACAAACAATGCATAGATATTTTGTTGTAGCAGAAATATTTTTTAAATGTCGTTCTATTTGATTTGTTTAATTTATTCTATATTAAAACATTAACTTTTGCAAGCGCCAAAACTTTAAAATACGTAATTAATAATAATCATAACAACAATATTAGTTTTGTTCAATTTTTTTTTTATTTTATATTAATGGCATTTGGCCATCTAGAAAAGAATTAGAAAAATGTTACGTTTACAAAATTAATTGTCTAAATTTGGAATTATTGAATGTTAAATATGTATTACATTAATAAATTTGTAGAAGGTACAACAATGTGATGCAAAAACACTCTTTCTAATGAGAATGGAAGTAATTAATGCCTTTAGGGACAATGTTAAGGAGGAACTGTTCTTCTGTTGCCTATCTCACGGAAGAAAGACCCGATAACTTTATGAGGATGCCTCATCAATTCGAATCCAATTGGCCCTATTCCATTAACTTTTTTAAAGTAATGTACTACAATGCTCACTTGAAATGGAAATCAAACCCACGCCGATTTATCAATTAGCTACCAGTAGTTATGAGTGTGATTGGCCTACCAGTAGTTATGAGTGTGATTATGAGCCTGAATGTCCGAGTGTCCAGCACTCTGGCGCTCGGTACCACAGGTTTCGGTTTTGAGTCCCGACGGTGCAATGGATGTTTGTAGAGGTCCGGAATGCACTTTGTTTCTACTCAAATATGACTGTAAGAAAGTCAAGAAGCTAAGTCAGGTTTCTACCTGCGGGTGCTCCATCCCAACAGAAGCTGCCTGCTGTCCCTCCATCCATAAGTAGAATACACATGGGGTGTCCGTCCCGCACTACAAGACACTGAGGATTTGTCACATACACATGATTTAGATTCATAAAAATATATAAAATCGAAATTTTCACTATGGAATCTTTGAAAATCATGTATAACAGGTAATTCAGTTAAATAAATTAGTTCACTTTATAAATTAGTTGTTTGGTTAGTTTCCATAAGCTGTATATATTTTATTGTCTTCGGATACTTGAGGTTGTTTGCCGCTAGAAATACAGAAGATGTAGCAGATTTATCTCTTCTCAGGATGCTCTGCAAGGAATCTACAACATTTCATTCACTTTGTGCTACCACAATTTTAAAAAAGCAGTCCCCTCCCTTCATGTGTCATCTAGGGAGTTTCGAACTCAGTCAAGATACATTCCGCCCTTTAGATTTATTGTGACAACTTCCAATTAATAGACATTCATCTTATAAAACATTTAATACTGATAAAATTAGAACCACCTACACAATTTGGACATATATAATAACTGCATCAATTTTTAAAGGCTTCTTCTGATATTAAATTAATTTAAAAATTTTAATTTCAATTCTTCAATATTTTTATTCTATCAAATCATTATTAGATCCATCCCCAAGATAGAGGCTAGCGGCTGCTTCACACCAGCACAAATCATTAGATCCATTTTGATAAGCACTTCACACAACAGGAGCATTTTTTTAGCAACGTAATTCACTTTTGTAAACATTAAACGAAAATATTTCTCCCAAACTCAGTTTCGCCAGCCAAAAAAAGAATGATATTGATAAATAATCATTATTTGCGAAAACCCCATAACATCTTTTCTATCTATTCTTTCTGGTGTCATTTTAAACAAACTACCCAATCAATGACAAAGTTCTACGTTGCTACAGCAGTAAAAAGATATATAAATAAACAACGAAAGTAC